AATCCATAGTCTACTGTTTTCCTTCACCGTTCCTTCATAGATTTCATCCCATACCTGTCTGGTTGCATCATCTTTAGACTCCTTCACACTTCTTCTCGCTCTTTAAATGACAGAGATGTTCAGTGTTTAGCCCTTGGTCCCCTTTGCTTCTTACTCCCAATTCTTGCAAGGTGATCTTTGTTCAGTGTCAATTAACTCCTATACACTGATGACTTCCAAATTTATATTGCTAGCCCAGACAAGATTTGTGCAACTCATACCCATATATTCAGCTTCCTGTTGCACGTTTCTAACTGAATGTTCCATGAACTTCAGGTATATAGCTGAAAAGTGAACTCCTTGTTCTTTTTTCCTCCGTCTCTCCCTAAGTAAGTGCATTCTTCTCTTCTCATTCTGGGTGCTACCTCATCAGGGCTACCACCAGCCCAGATGGAACATTTGTGGGAAATAGAAGAATACGGCCTTTCTACTTTACTTTTATCTCTCAGAAAAAAGATGACTTAATAGTCAGATTTTGTTAAAATAAGACACTTTACTATTATTTACCAGAAATTTTTCTTAGTAAATGTACAAATCTGTGATGCCTGAAATTTGAATGTAGCTCTTTAGGGTTGAGCAGTGCCGAACTCTTCAGCTTAAATGGTGACCTGGCCACCACTCACCTGGTATTCTATACCAGATACCTGGGAGTATTCCTAGACTTCTTCGTGACTTCTAAATATGCAATCAGTAAGAATGTCTTCCCATATTACCGTCTAAACAAACGTACACTATGCCCCTTCTTCTGCGTGATCAGAACCATGGCCCCATTTCAAAGCCTTATCCTAGATCAGTACATCAGCCTCTTAACAGAAGCCTGGCTCCTTTCTAATTCACTCTCAACTTAGCCTCCAGAGTAATATCATGTGGCACACAAATATCATCATGACACTTAAAAACAAACGAAGTTGAGTATAATATACATTCCAAAAAGCAAACAAAATAAACAAACCCAAAAGTGAAGCTCAATTTTTTACAAAGTAAATACAAGTACTCACCATCCAGATCAAGAAATAGAACATTATCCATTCCCATATCACCCAACGCCCCTTCCCAATCACTCCCTCTCTGCAAAAATTACCACTAACCAGACTCACAGCACCACGAAACTGTTTTTGCCTGGTTTTGAATTGTCTGTAAGTGTTATTATTTGGTATGTGCTCTTTTGTGTCTTCCTCCTTTTATTCAGTGCTTTTTAGAAGTAGAGTTGCCAGATATAGGAAATAAAAATACATGACACCCAGTTAAGTTCACATTACTGATAATTCTTTTGTATAAGTGTGTCCCAAGGAATATTTAACTGGTCTATCTAATCGTATTTTTCATTTAACAATGTTTCTATAGTTAAGCAATATTTGACTGTATTTTATCTAGCAACTCTATTTTTTAAGAGCCATCCATAGTTTTGCACATAGCAGTAGTTTATTCCTTTTTATTGTCATCTGATATTCCATTGTGAAATATACACATTTTATGTTTCTTTGTGCTCTTGAAGGACATTAGCATTGTTTCCACTTTTAGCTGTCATGACTAGTGCCCATGAGAACATTCTTGTGCATGTTGTTTGGTCACGTGTATAAATTTCTATTGGCTGTATTTCCAGGAGAACTGCCAGTTCAAAGGTTATGCAAATATTCAGCTTTAGTAGATACTGGCAAACAAATTTTCAAATGTTTAAAAACCAGTTTACATTCCCACCAATGGTGTAGAAGAGCTCCATTTGTTATAATCCTCTCCAATATAGTCCCTCCTTTTATTTTAGATATTCTTTTCCGTGTGTAGTGATATCTCATTATTGTTTGAATTTGTGTTTCCCTGATGGCAAATTTCTCTGATAGCATCTTTTATACTCCAATTGCAAAAATTATCATATCATACCGTACCAGCTTATTTGCCCCCCACTAAACTACATAATTTTAATCAAAGAATTGGTGACAGTACAGATTCTCACAAAATATGTGGTAAACAAAAGAATTAATGAATGGACCTGTGATGACCATGACATCCTTGAAAGAGTTTATTTTGTTGTTAGTTGCCACTTTCTTTTACTCTAATTAATACATCAACAAATATTTATCGGGGGTCTACCATGTCCAGGTATTGTTCTAATTATGCTACCTTAGAACTTGAAACTATCAAAGCAAAAGTACATGTGGCTGAAATCTCTAACTCATAACTAACTATTCTAGGGACTAGATCTCTAAAATACTAAGAAGAAAAGACATGCTGTTAAATACACACATCAAATAATGTGTAACTCTGATAGTGTGTACTTAGGAAGCTTAGCACAAGATTCATTGTAAGCCAGAAATAATGAACAGTCCACAAAAGTTCTAGATAGTAAGCTAAGAAAATGTTGACAGATATGCTCAAAGATGCATCCTAGGGAATTTTTTTAGCATTAAAAAATACAAAATAATTGAAAGAATCCAAATGCTCAATAATTCTGAACTGGTTAAGTAAATAATGACAAATTCATATGATGAAATACTATTCGTTAAAATAGTGTTGTAGGAGGATATTGAAAGCTATGGTAATAACCATGGTCTGTTGCCAAATGAAAATTAACTGACCTAGATAGGGCATTATGGTTTTTTTAGAAAAGATATATTTTGGAAAAGTATATGGAAAGAAAAAACCCGGAGGAACACAAATCATAAAAGATGTTTGCTCTAAGTGATGCAATTACGTAACTTTGATGTTCTTATTCGTGCTTTTCTGTTTTCCATCTTTTTATGACTAACACAAAAAATTGAATGATGTATGTTATATTTTAAAGGATTTTGGCAATTTACCAATGGCTAGAGCCCGAGTAGCTCTGAGGTCCAGGTAATCATTAAAATATTTTTCAGGGTGGGCAGTAATGCCCCTCTCTCTATGTGCCACAGCCCATCAAGTAGAAATTCTCTTGGCATCAGAATTCTGGTCTGAATCAATCATTGGTCTAATGCAATAGCGAAATACTCTACTCTTTTTATCTACTTACTACAATATAAACATACAGTAATAAAAGGTAAGACAAAATTTCCTTTCTTTTTATCTACTTACTACAATATAAACATACAGTAATAAAAGGTAAGACAAAATTTCCTTTCTTTATTCAACTTGATCTATGTTCTTAAGGTCTTATCCAAATACACAGCTTCCTTTGAAATGACCAAGTTCTTATATCAATGCTATATGATAACTAACAAAGGAAAAACTGACCATTGATGGAAAATGCAAATTACCTTTATATCTAACAAATTAGGAAAAAACTCTGTAAACTATCTCTTACCTGTTAATTACATGTAATAAGTCATTAAAAACTATAAAACAGCATTTCAAAGGCACTTACTGGCTGATCTAATCTAACTCAGTCTAACTACAAATGTCAGATTGATTACATTATTTCCTATGCTTCTCTGGCTCTCTCATGGCAACCGTCATTCAAACAATCTGGCAAAGCTTTGTTACACACTACTTAGGGAAAAATGCTGGTTCAGGATAGTTTCAGCTTTAATTGTGAAACATATTTTTCTGTCTATTGGGGAAAACAAATTGTTAAGGCAGCATAAGTTGTGGAAAGGATGTGGGCTTTTGAGACATATAAATCAAATTTGAATCCCAGCTCTGTGACCTTGGTCAGGTAGCTTAATGTCTCTGGACTTGAGTTTCTTCCTCCTGTACTCAGAATCATAATACCTACCTCACATAGTGTTGTGAGGCCTAGGGAGAATATATGAATAGCACCTACAAGTGCCTACCACACAATGGATCCCTTCTCTTTGCCCCCACCGCTCCTGCTGTACCTCCTCCTTTCCATAGAGCTTAGGAACCAGAAGTAGGGACCAACAGCTGAAGTCATGAATTCATGTCTTTATTCAGCAAATATGTGTTGGACTTTTTGTATGCTCCAGGTATTTGTGCTAGGTTCTGGTATACAACAAAGTAAACAAGACACAGTCAAGAAAATTCTAGTTTCTTCACTTCTAGAAGTCTGTACAGATAGGAAAATAAGCGATAATAGAGCAGGAAGCAACATGAGGACAGACATGAAGGAACACCTAACTCAGGGACAGATATTATAGAGGAGGTGATGCCTGAGCTGAGCCTGAGGAGAGTGGAAGTGTGGAGACAAGAAATGATAAGATGACAGTGGGATACAAGGACACTCTATTTCTTGGCATGACATGAGAGGGAATCTGGCGTGCTAAGAAAACTGTGAACGTTACGTTGAGAGCATGGATTTCTTATGGCTGTTTGTGGTGCAACACATTTATAGGGGTTACTAGATTCCTTACTAAGGAATTTGAAAGCAAAGAAGAATTATTAAAGAGGTATGATAAAAGGTATACTTTAGAAAGTTCATCTTGGTAAGGAAATAGAGAATAAACTATAAAGTGAAAAGCTCGAGGTCAGGAAAGAGTTAGGGGGGTGTTTGAAATAATTCAGGCAAGAAATCATAAGGCTTAGAAACAGAGAGTGTTAGTCATTGGATGAAGATGAAAGGGCTGATAGAGAAATATCGAGGAATCAACTGTGTCCAGGACCCTATGATTGATTGGTTTGTGGTAGGTAAGGTGAAGGAAAGGGTTCCCGGCTTGAGCAGTAAAAAGGGTGTTCCTAAACTGGGAGGATTAATAAGGATCAAGAGGGAATACATAATCCTGCTGCCTTTGGAGACTCCCTTCTTGGGACTCCCCATCCATCCCCCTCCTTCTCATAAACTTCCATGGCTCTCACAGAATCAGTGTGCATCACAGGTCCTAACAAATTTAGAGCGTGAAGAATATAGCAATTATAGGATCTAATCATACCAATATTTCAAGTTATCCTAAAGTTACTAAATTTGAATCCAATGTCGTTTAAGCAGTAACTAATTTAAAAGTATTTCAGCATCAAAATTTGTAATGTCAACCTGGTATTATGCATACGGTTTTTTATTTACAGCAGTTCTGCTTATATGTGCAGCCACTTACCCTTGCTGAAGCCATCACGTAAACAAGGATGTCAGTTGTATGGAGATCAAACACAGGGGAAAATCAAGAAATTTATCTCTAATGCCTTTTCTTGTGAAAGAGAGATTTTCACTGAAAACAAGCAGGAAGACAAACGTCAGAAATTTTCTCAAAAATTATGAAATGTTTCTAAATGTGTGCAAAAAGGAGTCTCAAGAAGCCTGTCATGAAACTCTAATCACCAATGCATTGCTAATACGCCATAAACATAAATAAGATATATTCACTGGTTACTATATTGTTCTGCCTTTGGTAGACATAATTTCTAAGAATACATTAGTATAGAGATATTGTTTGCTATTAATTTTTGAAAATTTTGTCAGTAACAAAAGCCTTTGTTAATATTTTCTATGGGGAAATGAGATTCAACTGACATCATTTTTCTTTTTCTCATTGGCTTTTCAGGAGCTAATTCTGCTGTCTGAGAATTATCTGCGTCTTGCTAGCATGAAAAGGTATGAAGTTTGCTCGCTTTGCTAATACATACCTACAAACCCGTATTCTTTTCCTCTGGCGATTTTCGGAGCATGAATTTTAGAGCACTTCTGGAAATAAAAAGAAACAAAACCTGTTCTACCAATGGTATCTGGCTTCCCAGATGTTTTTGCTCGTAGAGCTGGTTGGTAACTAGTAGAACGAGAAGCTGGAAAATTACTGCTACTTCAGTCTCCATATGCATCAGGCAAGTGTACCTGGAAATTATACAGCAAAATTTTAAAATCAGAATTTCTTCCTAGGAAATTTCCTTAAAATTACTCTTACTGCTGTCATCTGGATGAACCGAAATCTTAGAAAGAGAATCCTGTATTTGAGAATTTCAGATGGCAGCTGAATAAATGATTGAACTTTTTTTCATTGTGTAGTACTTTAATATCTTTCATTGTTTATACAGAAGATGGTGCTTGTGTGGTTTTCAATTCTGGCGTGTTTAGTGCTTTCTTAAATCAGCTGTAAAAAGTGAAACAACCAGATAATTAAACAGAAAGATAGTAAGATAGGTATTTGGACTGTTCTTAAATATCATTTAAAACTCCATGCATAGTCGAACAGTGGAGGACAGTGTGATGATGCTTTAAGGTAAATAAGAAACAGCACATCATTTTCTCAGAAAGAGACCAGATTTCCTAGCCTTATCTGCTGCCTACTTCCTCAGTTCTTCCCCCTTTCACGACAGCCAATAACAAGGGTCCACAATTTATGAGCCTCTGAATTCCTACCTGGGGAGTGACTGTCTGCTGACCATGAAATTCCCGAAGCTAAAATCGTGTATAAAAAGCAATAGTTGAGTTTAGGAATGAGAGTTAGAACATAAAAAGAGTAGACTCACTTTCAATGAATGATTGTTTTTGTTTGTGTCATCCACTTAGCAGACAGAGATGAAATAGCCAGAACTTCCCTATTCTTAATGACGGTTTCTCTGTTGAATAAGGGCGCCACAGCGCGTCAGAGCATGGCCTCTGGATTCCTCTGGCCCGAGTTCAAATTTCTGCTCTATCATTTAGTATGTCCATAACCTTGGGCAATTCGCTTTACTTTGCTAAGTTTCTGTTTTCTCTTTTATAAATAGTGGATAATTCAGTACTTATTTCTCAGGTTGCTGGAGGCGTTGAATGAAATGGAGCACACCAAGTGTTTAACACAGTACCTCCTATATTATAGTTAATCATTATGAGTGTAATAATAATATCATAATTATTGCCATATATAATTATGTTATCATTGTTATTATTGCTATTGCTACTGTTTGTTCACCTTGAAAAAAAATAAAAAACAAAGTCTACCCCACTTACATGAGCACTTCCACTCCTAAAAACTCTAGAATCTATCACAAGACTAGGATCAGATAAGAGGCTAGTGAATGTCCATAGACATGCTAGAGTCTTTGGGTGCCTCTGAGCTCCCTTGAGCAGGCTGTGCACAGCACGACTCTACAAAGCAGGTTGGGTAAACTGCAAATTTGTGACCAAAAAATGCATAACGTTGTTGGTACAAACAAGCATTTAAATGTTGCCTTATCAAAATGTTACCCCCATTGGTCTTCAACTGAATTTTGAAAAACAGTGCTTTTAAATTTTTAGAGAAAAAATATAAGAATTGCTGGATTCAGCACCATTTAGCATCATTTTTAGTTTTAGGGTATAGAGGAGCCCTGAGATTATTTCCATCAACAGATGAAGTGCCTTCTAACATAGAGATGTCAGAGTCAATAGAAGGACGGAATTGCTAAAAATTTAAAGAAGGAGCATTGTCAATGGAAGTTATAGAAATTGAATAAAATTACCATGACAATAATGATTTAGCATTTAGATGGACTTTTTCTGCCCAATTGAGGTCTTCCTCCCTACCCTGCCTCACATTCTCCAATCCTGATAGATGTTTGCTCATGGCTTTTGTAGTACTGTGGCAGTAAGTGGAACAGCCCTACCCTACGCCTTATCTGCAGGAAGGAAACTGGGGGTAGCAATAGCTGAGCAAGAAACAAGTCGAACAGAGCTATAGCCAGTTCCACAGATAAGCCCAGGGCCAAGCCACATGTGCAAGATTGGCTACATAATATGTGGGGCCCAGAGTAAAATAAAAATGTGGGGCCCCTTGTTCAAAAATGGTTAAGAATTTCAAGGCAGTGACAGCCAAGCATTAACCCAAGCACCAGTCCCTTTTAAGTATGGAACCCTGAGCAACTGCTCAGGTTGTGTGCCTATGGGGCCAGCCCTGCACATATGTTCTTTCTTCCCCTCAACATAGTCCTATCCGTACAGGAGCCACCTCTGCTGGTCCAGCCTTTAGCATGTTCGTGGAAGTTTACCTTAATCCCAAACCAAGTAAATATCAGGCTTTAATGCCAGATAAATGATGCAGATAATGGTTTAGGATTAAATAATCCTTCTTTTCTTAAACCTCAAAGACAAGACCTTTAGTCAACTGTCATCCTTCATTGTCTAAAACCTTGACATAGTTTATAACACATGTGAATGTACATCAAAGAATCACCCTCAGGAGTTACTTACTTCAGCATGCAATGGAAAAATATAAATGGAAATATCTGTCCAGAGGCCAAAAGTTCAATAAGGAAACCACGAGCTTCACATACGATATTTTAATTTGATTCAATTATCTTAAAGATCTTTAGAGTAGTTAAGCATTGTTCTTTTAAAGGCTACAGTATAGTGAGTTATACAAGTAAAACTGGCAAATCTCTTGACATTCTTAATATTTTTGAGTCACATGCCCCTTTGACAACCTGATGAAAGCCATAAAACTCATGCTAGATAAATACATATTCCTAGGCACGCACACACACACACATGCTTCTTAAACATCCTAAGGTCCGTTCAAGAATTTCAGGTTAAAAAAATTCTTCTCTGAAGCAATACTTTTGTCATATGTTAGAATAAGTTAACTTATCCTGAAAGAGTCAAAGGGAGCTATTTTTAAAATAGTAAAGATATAGGTGATCGTTATTATTTCACCATATGGCTGAGTGAAATTAGAGAAGTAAGGTGGAGCCAGATCATGAAGGATCATGCTAAGTCATTCTTTAAAAATATATTTTTTACGCATATGTATTTTAAAAGGATGCAGACACCATAATAAACCCCTCATTACTTCAGTATTCAGCTCTTAAAAACAAAAATTTGTCTACATAGCCAAAATAACCATTTTTATACAGAACAAAACTAATAATAATTTCTTAATTTCATTTTACAGCCAGCCATAATCAAATATCTCCAATTTTTCCCTGCTTTGTCCAAAACCAGAATCCAATCTAGGACTATGCATTGCATCTGACTGTCATGCCCCTTAAGCCTCATGTAGTCTAGAACAATCTAGAGTGCTTTTATGTCACTCATTGAAGAGAACAAATCTCTGGATTTATCTCATGGTATCTTCTTAGCATTTTAATTCTAATCCTGAAATTTCTTATGAACTGGAATTTCAATCAAAGATTGATAAGATGTAAATTAGCCATTTTGGACTAGAGTGCATTGTGCCTGTGTGTCGAATTACACCCCAGTAGGAGACAGTCTATCTCCTAAGATTTGGTTTAATATCTAACACAAATGATAACAAACGCATTCTTCTGGATTTCCCCCCCTTTTTTTAGTTTAGTTGTGCATTGGAGGATTTTTATAAAATCACTTTTAAATCAACTACAAAAATTATTCTTTTTGATGTTCAATATGTTGAAACATTGCTAATGGGAAACCTTTCAAGCTGTTGTATGCTTTTGAGATGACTGCATTCAATTTTGAAAGCTATCTTTTTTTGTTAAATATTTAACTTTATTTTTTCCAATTTTATTGAGATATAATTGACAAATAACATTCTGTAAGTTTAAGGTATACGATGTGATGATTTGATATATGTATATACTTTGAGATGATTACCACAGTTAGGTTAGTTAACACATCCACCCCCTCACATAGTTACCTTTTGTGTGTACATGGTGAGAACACATAAGATCTACTCAATTTCAAGTATACAATACAGTATTGTTAACTATAGTCACCATGCTGTACGTAGATCCCCAGAACTTATTCATGTTATGACTGAAATTTTGTCCCCTTTGACCAATATCTACTCATTTTCCTCACCCCCCAGCCTCTGGTAACCATCAGTCTACTCTCCATTTCTGTGAGTTCAACATTTTCAGGTTCCACATATAAAAGAGATCATACAGTATTTATATTTCTCTGTCTAACTTATCTCACTTATCATAATGCCCTCAAGGTCCATCAATGTTATCACAAATGGCAGGATTTTCTTCCTTTTTATGTCTAAATAGTATTATAACCACATTTTCTTTATCCACTCATCCATCTATGGACATTTAGGTTGTTTTCATGTCTTGACTATTGTGAATAATGCTGCAATGAGCATGGAGATGCAGATAACTCTTCGAGATACTGACTTTATATCCTTCAGATATATACCCGTAAGTGAGCTTACCGGGTCATATGATAGTTCTATTTTTAATTTTTTGAGGACTCTCTATGCTGTTTCCCATAGTGACTACACCAGTTTACATTCCCACCAACAGTGCACAAGGGTTTTTGTTTTTTCTCCATATCTTGAGCTCAAAATATCCCAGGCTCAGTCAGTACCTTTTGTGTCCAAGATCAAGAATCAACCATTTCTCCTCAGAGCTCTGATTTCTTTTACTGAGGGAGGATATTAGAAACCAAAATGTTAGTCTAAGTGTGTTCATTGACATTGGAGTGAAATTATATGTAGGCCATTGGACAAAGCAAGAAAATAAATGTGTTTTAAAAATCATGTTTATATTCAGATTTTGTATTCAATATTAATAAAGTAGCCATTTTACATAACTTCTTTGATTTTATAATGGTACTTCTTTTTTCCTAACACTGAAAATCTTGATTTCTAATGAAGTTAATAACATATATTAGCTCCTGTGCTGGTCCTGAGCCTGTTTGCCCTCAGATCTGTTCCATACGTTTCTCCTACTCTGTCACCTTTGTAGGCTCCCATGCTGGACAGTAGTAGTCACTGGTGGGAGACTGGGGGTGGGGGGAAGGGACAAGCCTGAGTACTTCTACCCTTTTCTCCTCATCTTGGGAGATGTCTCTGGATGTGGCTGCTTCTCCTCTGTGGCTTGAGGTCCCCAGGACAGGCCCACTTTGGTTCTAGCTACCAACAGGTGATCTGGTCCTCTGGACTCTAGAACTTCATCTCTTCTTTTTTGTCCCTCTAGTCTAAAGTTGGAGTGGCTTCCTGCTGTCTGTAAAATCTGAGTTGCTTTATCACCTCCTCTTGGCTTCTCAATTCTTCCATTACCTATGTAATTTATTCCCTAACTTACATTTCATTTACAAAAGATTATTTCTATTGCCTTGGTTGGACATTGATGATAAAGCTTTATAATACTGTATAAATAAAGTAGTTAAAAAACACTATTAATGATAAAATTACTAAAGAAAGTTTAAAATGTCTTTGTGATTCTTTTTTTCCCTATAGAATGAATCCCTAAAGATGTGCAAAGATCTATGTTCTAAACTTACTTTAAAAAACCTTTCTTTGTGATTATTACCAGTTTATATAGAGTTATATACATATTTGCTAAGTATGTTTCCAGTTTTAAGGATTTATTTTTTTTCTTCCTTTAAAAAAATAAGGGCAATGCATTTATATGGTATGAAAGTCAAAACTATATTTTAAAAATGTATACCTAGATACCTCTCCTGACCTTTTTCTCTCCCCATCCCTGCTCTCTCAAATTAACCATTTCTATTAGCTTTTTGTCCATGCTTCCAATATGGTTTTTTTACAAATAAACATTTCCCCATTTCTTGAATAAAAGATAGTATATTATATATACTATTCTGTATCTTGTTTTTTTTTTTATTAAAGATTATATCCCAAGGATCTCTCCACGTCAGTACATAAGCATAGTCCTCACTGTCTTTTACTGCTGCATATTACTCTCTTGTATGAAGCACCATAATTAATCCAGGCAACTCCATGTTGTTAATACTTGAGTTATTTCTAATTTTTCTATACTAATAATACCAAAATGAAAAACTTTGTTTGTATGTTATTGGGACTTGTGTGGGTGTGTTTATAAGCTAGATTCCTGGAAGTGGGATTGCTGGTTCAAAGTGTAAATGGATGTGTACTTTGGTTAGATTTGCCCAAGTCTCCTCCACAGGATTTGTGCCATATTCGAATCCTAGCAACAATGTGTGAGAGAGAGTACCTATTTCCCTACAATCTCACCCACAGAGTCTGTTGTTATATTTTTGGTTTTGCCAGTCTGATGGTTGAGAAATGATAACTCAGCGCATTTCTTTTGCTGTGTTCGAAATCGAACGTCTCTTCATATGCCTGAGAGCCATTTGTATAATTTTCTATGACTTATCTGTTAATATGTTTTAATACATTCTTGGAAAAATAAGAGGAAAAAACACTGACCTAAAAGTTGGGGACTCAGGCACTACCATGACTTTTCAATGAACCAGTCTTGGTTCTCAAGGAAACCATAAAACTTCTCTGAGCCTTGGTTTCTACCACCCAAAGTGTTTCTGAGGATGAAATAAATACAGTTGATGAACAGAATTCAGGGGATCTATAACACATTGTGTACTCTTTCTCATCACTGAATAATCTATACTTCAGATTTGATTTGATATTCTTTCCTCTTCTCTCTCATAGCATTTAGAGTCGATGTCCCACAACTTATAGTCCTCATAAAATCTGGAATGAAATAGTTCATGATTTTCACATGTTCACGTTTTCAGACAACTAGTTTCTACTGATGATCATTTAAGTTGGAAGGGAGTCTTCTACTTCAAAACACAGCAGCCAAAAGTTCCTTTTACTTTTTAATGCTATGCCTCTTTAGTTTTTGGATAAAAATTGAGGTTTGCCTTTATAAATTGGAGTAGATTTACTAGTCTTCTGAAATCTGAAGTTTGGGGTAGAAATGCTAACGGAAGATGATAAATAAGAATCCTAACCTTGACTAGATACTTAAACAGACAAAAACCAGAAAAAGTATTGAACTGGCTCTTCCTGAAGTTGCCAGGGTTTTGGCAATGGCTAGAGTGTATTGTGATTGCTAGACACTTTCTCAGAAAACAGCTTCCTTTGAATTGTTCTTTCAGGAGTTCTTCCTGGAAAAAATATGAGAGAAATGGTAAAAACTCACTTCTTTCTTAGTTTAGCCTTTTTGATACTGGTAAAGGGCAAAATTCCTTCTTGCAGAAGAAATGATAGCTGTTTATATAAGCAGATTCCACTCATTTTAATTATTGCTTTTGGCGGGGTACAAAGAGTTTAATCTTCCCTAAATTCCACTATAATGTCTACTGTCTAAAGGTTCAGTTACCCTGGACAAGATCTTCATCAGCTACTTGCCATGCACTGATGGCAATGTTACTTGATACAGTTAAGCTAGTAGAAAGGGTAATTAAATTAATAGCCAAAGAAATGTGAGATACATGCAAATTCAAGTCTTAAAAATAGTTTCCTAACAAATATTTAGATCACTGACCTTATTTTAATTGACATTTCCCGATGTAGGTCAAATATTTCATCATAATTTCCTCATTTGGCTTCTGCAGATCTAGAATATTGTTAAAAAGCAAAATATAAGTACAAAAAGGAAGTGACTGAATAAGTAGACTGAGGCTTCAGGTCTTCATTCTATATAGGTACACGTATTTATATATGTGTTATTTTTCTGTAGTATGCTTTTAGATAGAGAATTTTACAGAACTGCACTTTTGCATACTTTCACATTTTTAAAAAACTACATAAAAATGAAAGTCAATGTTTCAATTTGACAGCCATCCAGTTCAAAGAAGAAAAGAGGAGACTTAATTCCTCACACTCCTTTCCAAATTATTTTCATAATGATCTTGTTCATGCTTATGTGGAGCTTTGTTTTCTTTACTCAGGAACATGTCCACTAAAATTCAATGTTCTGAAAGACGTATATGATGTTTCTTGCATGATTAATAAGATGAAGGAAAAGAACAGGAAAACTCCAAGAGTCTATTATATAATTTGCATTTTTAGAGACTTGCTTGCAAACCTTAACTAAAAAATGAGTCTTAGATTAGATTAACTTAATATTCATTTAATGGAGGAAAACCAGAAGTTTTTTTTTAAGGTTTCTTGTTTGTAGGTCAGGCGGAAGCCTGCTTTTTCTTTTTTCTACTTCTCAAATTCTCTGAATTAGAACATGAATATAGTATCTAGAAGAGCAATGTGTTTGCAATGAATAAAGAGGCACAATGTTTTACAATTAGTTCCTTTTAATTTGGACAGATGCATATAGATAGTTTGTTTGGCCTACTGTTATATTGAATAATTAGTAAATATATTCCATTGGTTATGTAATTACTGGCTCACAAGAGAGGATAGAATTGGAAAAAATTGTAATTAATTGTATACACTATGCTAAAACAAGAGTGTGTATGAAGGAAGTTGACTCTATATCTTGAAAGGATTTTAGACATTAAAGGTTTTATAAAGGAATTCCCACAACAGCAAATGTTACAAACATAGGAATATATTTGAATATAGTGATTTAGAAATGACAATAGAATATCAATTTGAATTGTTTTCCAAATATTAATTAATTGCTTAGGCATTTTCAAAACTATTGGTTAAGATACATCAATGTAAGATGAAATTTACAACTTTTATCTCTATAATTACTCCTGGCTTATTTCCTTTACCCCTTTGATGCCTTCAATTCTGTTGATCAACCACCAATCAATGAAGTATTTATCAAGTACCTACTACAGGCTCAGTAGTCTGCCAGATATTGAGGATGGGGCATGTATATATATATATATATATATATATATATATAACACATGGTCCTTAAACTCAAAGAAATTACAATTAGATTATAAGTGCTATGGGAAACAAAATGAATAAGTGGACATGAAAAAATTGAAGATCAAGGAAGACAACAAGACTGCCAAAACTCAGGACTTCTAGATATATGGCCAAGAGAAATGAAAACATATGTTCACATAAAAACATGTACACAAATACTCTTAGCAGTATTCAAAAAAGCCAAAAAATAGGAACAAGCCAATTATCCATCAACTGCTGAATGGATAAACAAAATGTGGTATATCCATACTATAAAATATTATTCAGCCATAAAAGGAAAGAGTACTGATATAGTCTACAACATGGATGAAACTTGAAAACATTATGCTAAGTGAAAGAAGGCAATCACCAAAGGCCGTACATTGCATGTTTCCACTTATATGAAATTTCCAAAATGGGCAAATCCATGGAGACAAAAAATAAATAGTGGCTGCCTAGGGCTGGGTTTCAAATAGGGACTTGAGGGGAATTGGGTAGTTACCACTAATGGGTTTCTTGGGGTGATAAAAATGTTCTAAATCTATTGTGGTGCTGGTTGCACAACTCTGTGAATATACTAAAAACTATTTCATTGTATACTTTATATGAATATATAATAATATGTATCTCAATAATGCTGTTAACTTTTAAAAGTAGTATGACTGTGATTGGGGGGGTTCAAATGACACCTTCAGCCCTTATCGATTTTGTGAACACAGGAATAATGCCATTTTATTTTATTTTATTTAAAGTAGGAAGTAATAGAAAAGAGAATTTTAGTTTAGAGGGGAATTTAGAAAACATCTAGTCTAATTACCTAAATACTATGTTTTTCACATGAGCGACTTACAGAGTGGCAGTTAAGCCCTTGGGTTCTAGAGGCAAACAGACAGTGGGTCTCTATCACTCGCTCAGTCATGCTGGGCAAAGCCTATGAACTCTCAGCCTCAGTGTTATCAACTTCTAAAAGAGTGGGATACAGAATATGATCCACAGTACAGTTATTATATGATTAAATGAGAACACATACACACACACACACACACACACATGCTAGCACAAGGCCTGAAATAGAGAGTGCTCAAAGAAACTTAGCTATTGTTATAAAAATGTCCCCACTCCCCCAAGTCATATAGTCTGTGTAGTAGAGCTGGGATATAAAAAAGTCAGGTTATCTGACCTCTCTTCTTGGGCTCCTTCTATTATACCAAAGATTGAAAGGTACTAGATTATTCTACCAGGAAAGAATCTGAATATCTCTGAAGCCAAATCACTTGAGAAAAATTGATTTCCTATGATTTTGACAGCATAGAGCCAGAAGGAACCTGCACTTAAGATTTTAAAAAGGTCTGTATCACATCTGTCACATCTAGACATATGGTTTTGCCAAGACAGTACTTATATCTTGGCCCTGGGGACTTTTTGTTTTCCTCTGAATTCTCACTTTCGCTTGACATTCAATTTATTGCATGTGTTAATCTGATACGATGACTTGTTACATCTGCATATTTTAGATAATCAGATGTGAAAACAACTTTACAAAGCAGCTAGCTTTCAATCTTTATCCAGAGTTTATCCTCCGAGAGAAAGAGAATAATAACTGCAGACTTTCTTAGAGTTTTGATAGCATTCTGCACAGTTAGTACATGTGTTTTTGAGGTTACATGATTAATTTGATTATTGACCTCTGCAGATGTCATTATAGTAGCATTTTGATTAGCAGCCAAAGAAGTTCTTTCTATAAAGATATATATGAGATTATCTAGATGATAATACAAAACATGTAGGCATTTATCAGGGACACTTTATAAGTGCACACTTATGCACTGCTGATGAGAGCATTTGTTGATATGACCATTCTGGAGGAGATTTTGGCAAAATGCTTCAAAAGCCTTCAGTCTTTGACCCAGCATTTCCACTGCCAGGAATGTGACCAATAGGAATCATGAGACATATGCCCAAGTCTTTGTTTATCAAAAATTGACCAAAAGACTGTATATAATCATAAAATTTAAAAAAACAATTTAAATGTCCAATAATGATGGCTTGGATAAATAAAAGTAAGCATATCCATGATTTGTGTTTTTAAAATTCATGATTTAAAAGGATGACTATTCATAATGTCTTATGTGAAAATAATGTGTGTCAAGATACTGTGCTCGATAGGGTTACAAAACTATAAAAATGATTCTGTATCTATGTATGTACATATATGCATTAAGCTTTAACATTTGTACTTGATTTGCAAAGCATCATTTTTGTACTTATTTAATGCCAATAATTCCTCCAGACTCATGAGCTTTGCAAATCTGTGGACTTCTCAGCTGAATGCCTTTTTCAGAAACCACTGCTATCAGAACACAAACCGTGAAGACAAATGGGAATGCTTTAGTGCAGTTATTTTATGGTCTATTAGTATTACTACTGAGTTGTATTAAATTCCCTCTCAGTCTTTGGACTCTGAAAATGTAGATTCCATCAGAGTGTTTACAGAAAAGTTTTTGAGTATTTTCAATGTGACCTATTATTGTGTTCATTATTTTTTATTATATTTATTTTAATCCTCATAAAATATAATGATTTTAAAATAAAGTAGACAGAGAGGAAATTTTCGTCTGCTTGATGTGCTCCCAATGTGTTGCAGTGTATGTGAAAGAGATCCAGATGTCATCAAGGCTGTTTTCCTAGTAACTCTGCTAACTTGTCATCCTCTCTAGGCTTTGTGGTTTTGCAGACTTGTAATTTTTTTATGTCATGTAGATTTATAGGACATGTATCAGACAAAATATGTACTGGATGACAGAGGATGGTCATTTTCTAAGCCTTTTATCTCTTTTATGGTTTTATTTTGAGTAAAGTTGCCTATGCTACTAGGAATGCCTATTTCATATTGGTAAAGACAAGAAGGAAATTTACCCCTTTGGATCTAACCAATTAGCCAGCTCTGTTCTTTCTCCAAAAAGGAAGGCTGAACTCATATGTGAACACATAACATAGAAAATGTGGAAAGCGATTACATAAGAAACAGAGAAGATAAAACAATTAAGATTTGGTCAGTGCTTCTTTTATCCCTCTGGCAGATCTCTTCGGCATGAGGGTGAGGTACTTTATGCTACCATGTTCTTGCATCATCAAAACAGTTGGAGTGGTCAAAGATGCACATCCATTGAACTATTGGCATGCGTTCTACCATCAAGTAGCTAGTCCTCTGCATATTACCCTAACCCTGCCTGCCACTTCCCCCACTCCCAGGTCAAAGTTAACCCCAGAAACCTGTTTTAACACAGAAAGTGTTTTAACATGCACTTAAAAAATAACTATATATATATGCCATATACATACGGCACAGACACTGTGCCAGCAAATTATTCAACTGAATGTTTCTTGATTTTTTAAAAAATCTTTCCTCACCCTAGGAAGAGACTTGTATCCAGCAATAGAATAGGTATTTTCTTTTCCAAGAATTTTCAGTGATTATTTGAAACATCTTTAAAATTCACGTTCTGCGTCCTGAGAGTCAATAGGTGTTTTATTTTAACAGAAAGATGAATGATCCCCCTAATGTCAGACAGGATGTATAAATCAAAACTCTCCAGAGCAATTTTCACATAGGACCCTTGCATGCACGAGCACAGCCCTGGGATAAAATTACCCCATGTGAATTTTGAGACTTCCCATTCCTGACAAGATAGCTGAATTACAGAAGATGCTGGTTTCCTCCCCAAACTCAGCACT